ATCCTGTTAGGGAAAATGAGCAAAGGGCTGAGGTCAACCCACTCTCACTTCCAGTGAAGCACATTGACCTTTAAGGACTGGGGCAACTGAGCATCTCCAGGGTATTCTGGCCACGTGTCCATCCTGCCATAGTGTGAGGTGTGGTCTTGTTCTCTTGCACAGGTTTTTAGTAAAGTACTCTCTCTCCTATTCCAGGTTGGCCCAAAGATTGCAGCGAGCTTGTCTCTGGCAGCCCCAGTGGCATCTACATAATCCAGCCCACAGGTCTCCACCCCATCAAGGTGTACTGTGAAATGAATGTGACAAATGGGGGCTGGACAGTCATCCAGAGGAACCAGAAAGACACAGCTGTCACTTGGGCTGAGTCCTGGAGCACCTATAAATACGGCTTTGGGAACGTGCGCAGTGAGTACTGGCTGGGCACCGAGTACATCCATCAAATCACCAAGCAGAAAGTCTACCAGGTCAGATTTGTCATCTGGGATGACTCAAACAACATCAAGTTTGCAGACTACAACTTCTTCAGTGTAGATGATGAGTCTCATGGCTACCAGCTGCGGCTGGGCTCCTACACAGGGACAGCAGGGGATGGCATGGACTCAGACAATCCTAGTACTGTGCACAACAACATGAAATTCTCCACAAAAGACATGGATCAAGACACTTCAAGAAAGAACTGTGCATCCCACTCTGGGGGTGGGTGGTGGTACTCAGCATGTTATTCTGTACGGCTGAATTTCAAGGGTGGCATGACATGGGGTAGCCTGTGTAAAGGGGACTGCAAATCCTCCCTTATCCTCATCAAACCAGCTCCATACCACTAGCATTCTTCTGCACTGGATATGGCAAGATCAGTGCTCTGCTGGGCCACTCTTTATTGGCTGGGAGTCTGGGGATGAATAGGGGTGTTCCAGCATATCCAAAGCTCTTTTCTTTTGCTCTTCTGAAAAGTAGTGATGTTCCCTGCTTTATCTATGGCCTGTCACCTGTGATACGTTTTTAGGATCGTTAGTAGAATAAGACTTTATAAACAATTCAGTTTCCAAGTGTGCTGCTTCTGGGGAGAAAACTGTTATAAAACCCTCCTGATCCAGCAAGAGCTTATTCTCTTTCTCCTTTGAAGTTAGGCATGATGACCACTGACTTAAGCAGAAAAATATAATTCATTACTCAGTAACCTGTCCTAAGATGCTCTGAGGCCAGGCAGGCCATACCTCTGCTGTAGTCCGTGTTCATCTTGCAGAATAAAATTGTTTTCAGAACCGGCACAGACATGTGAAAATGTCCTTCATCTGATGCCTGCTTCTGCCAGGAGGCTCCTGGTGAAGTAAGAAAGCAAAAGGGAAATTTTTCACAAGATTCAAATGGGAATTAAAAATAAAACCTGCACGTAAGAGAGCTGAGTTTCAAGGTATGGATCTTTCAAAAAGGGGATGCAGTACCACATGGCCAACAGCTAGAGGTGAGGGTGGGAGGAAGCACCATCTCAGTTCAGCCATACCCATGTAGACCTGGAGACCTAAACAGGGCTGCCAGGCCAGCATCATCTTGCCTTGTCAGATCTGTGAATGATGGTCTTGACATCAATGAAGATGAAGATGGTCCTGACATTGATGAAGTCCTGACAATGAAGACTGAGAACTGGTAACAACAGATGTGGAGAGAAGGCAGAGGTACTTAACTTCTTTGCCTCAGTCTTGACTAGTGGTCAGGCTTCCCACACCTCTCATGTCCCCGAACCTCTAGGAAGGGCTGGAGGAGCAGAGTCCCTCCCACTCTAAGCAAAGAGCAAGTTCAGGACCTCCTGACGCAACTTAACAACTACAAGTCTATGGGCCCTAATGACATCAGGGCCCTTGTGCCATCCCTGCGCCAGGGGAGTTTTAGGTTGGATCTTAGGGAGAACTTCTTTACTGAAAGGGTTGTTAGACACTGGAACAGGCTGCCCAGGAAGTGGTGGAGTCACCATCCCTGGAAGTCTTCAAAAGACTTTTAGATGTAGAACTTAGGGATATGGTTTAGTGGGGACTGTTAGTGTTAGGTCAGAGGTTGGACTTGATGATCTTGAGGTCTCTTCCAACCTAGAAATTCTGTGATTCTGTGATTCTGTGACATCTATCCCAGGGTCCTGAGGGAATTGGCTGATGTAGTCACCAAGCCACTCTCCATCATATTTGAAAAATCATGGCAGTCAGACGAAGTTGCCAGTGACGGAAAATGGGAAACATCACTCATTTTTAAAAAGGGTAGAAAGAAAGACCCAGGGAACTACAGACCAGTGAGCCTCACCTCTGTGCCTGGGAAGATCATGGTACCAATCCTCCTGGAGGCAGTGTTAAGGCACATGCAGTACAAGGAGGTGATGTGGGACAGCCAGCATGACTTCACCAAGGGTAAATCATGCCTGACCAATTTGCTGGCCTTCTATGATGGAATGACTGCATTAGTCAACAAAGGGAAGACTGACCAATGACATCTACTTGGACTTCTGTAAAGCCTTTGACACAGTCCCACACGACATCCTGGTCTCTAAATTGGAGAGGTATGGATTTGATGGGTGGACCATCTGGTAGATAAGAAATTGGCTCGATGGCCACACCTGAAGAGTGGTGGTCAATGGCTCTATGTCCAGGTGGAGACAGGTGATGAGTGGCGTCCCCTGGGGATCTGTCTTGGCACTGGTGCTTTTCAGTATCTTCATGAATGACATAGATGATGGGATCGAGTGCACCCTCAGCAAGTTTGCAGATGACACCAAACTGAGTGGTGCAGTTGATACAATAGAAGGTAATTCAAAGATAGATGCCATTCAAAGGGACCCAGACAGGCTGGAGAAGTGGACCCATGTGAACTGAATGAGTGTAAGTTCAACAAGTGTAAGTACAAGATGCTGCAGCTGGGCTGGGGCAATCCCAGACAGGAGTACAGACTGGGTAAAAAACTCATTGAGAGCAGCCCTGTAGAGAAGGATTTGGGGGTTCTGGTGGAAAAAAAAAAGTTCAATATGAGCCAGCATTGCGTGCTTGCAGCCCAGAAGGCCAATTGCATCCTGGGCTGCATCAAAAGAAGAGTGGCCAGCAGGTCAAGGGAGGTGATTGTCCCCCTCTGCTGTGCACTCATGAGGTCCCACCTGGAGTACTGTGTCCAGATTTGGGGCCCAAGCACAAGAAAGATGTGGACCTGTTAGAGTGAGTCCAGAGGAGGGCTACAAAGATGATCAGAGGTCTGGAGCACCTCTCCTATGAAGAAAAGCTGAGGGAGCTGAGCATATTCAGCCTGAAGAATATGAGGCTCCAGGAAGACCTCATTGAGACCTTTCAATAATTAAAGGGGTCTTATAAAAAAGATGAAGAAGGACTCTTTACTCGGGTAGATAATGATAGGACAAGGGGAAATGATCTTAAACAAAAAGAGGATAAATTTTGACTAGACATTAAGAGGAAATTCTTCACTGTAAGGGTAGTGAGGCACTGGAACAGGTTGCCAAGAAAAGTTGTGGATGCCCCATCCCTGGAGGTGTTCAAGGCCAGCGTGGATGGGGTCTTGACCAACCTGATCTAGTGGGTGACATCCTTGCCTGTGGCAGTGGGGTTGGAGTTAGATGATCTTTAAAGCCCCTTCAAACCCAAGCAATTCTATGATTCTGTGATTCTTTCTCAGCCAGCACCACCCTCGTGTTCATCTTCCCATACATGGGGGCTGCAGGCCCACCAATGACTCCAGGACAGCTAAGGCTGCCTATGCTGCCACCTCAGAAACACAGTGCAGCCATAGCTCTGCTGACTGCCTTGAGAACTCATGCAGAGATCTTGGCCTGAGAGTCCAAGCTGTTCAGAGTTCACAATTGCAAACCTTCTCAGAGCTCAGCTTTTATTTCAAAGACACAGGAGAGCAGTGGCTTCTTTCAGGCCTTAAGTTCAAACTTTCCTCCATTGCAAAGGAGATCCATAGCCACATTCACCCTCTGCAGTACAATGGGACTGACTTACCCATGCCACCTGTCCTCCCCTCATGCTCTTAGAGAGCCCACCATATGCACCACAACCCAATTGGTGTTTGTGTGTGTGTGCCTGTCTTCCCATTCCCAGCATGGAACAACCACCCAGCCATGGACAGGGGCAGATGTGGGGCAAGGGTTTTGTGATACCATGGGCTTTTCTGGCCCTGGTGACTGATACAATAATAAGCCTTAGAGCCTTACAGCCACAGTCTTGTGCACAGTGGCTGGAACAAGTCATTGGAAGCATCCAGAGACCTGAGAACCAAACCACAGACCTAGCTGTGTAAAACAACCACATCAGAGGGAAAAAAGTTTATGTTACAGGCTGATGCTGGGGAGAGTCAGTAGCAGGGAGAATTGCCCTCAGACCTTTCAGTGAGGAACATTCAAGCATTTCATAAAAGGAGAAACATCAACACAAAAGCTCTGCAAAGCACACCAGCTCTTCACTGGCTCAGCAGAGAAGGAAAATCAGCTCCACGGCTGACTCCACTGCCTGAAAAAATCATCTTAAATGAGCAGCCACCATGCTAGGCCTGGGGAAACGTGTGCTCTCTATGTTCATGGGAAATTTGGAATTCCTTAGGCAGGTGTATATTCTTGCCTAGGAGATCTATGGCAACACATGTGCATAATGCACCCACTATCCCCCAGGTCCACCATCCTGAAGGACTAGACAAAACCATCCCCACACACACACTTATGCACATTTCTGACGCAACAGGGAGAGAGAAGGCAGTGAAGTCTGGCTCCAGGGTTTATTGTAGCTGATTTCTGCCACCATGGTTAGCAGAGTTGAGGGGCTGATGGGGCCTGAGGAGTGAGCAGGGTCTGAGCAAAGCAGGGATTGCACAGGCAATGGAACTTGCACTTCTACCCTTCATCCACCCCAAACCAGTGCCCCTGTTTCAGTGCTGGCCAGCACAGTAGCACTGGGTAAAGCTGCCCACATGCCCGGGGCTCCAGGAGGTGGCTCCTGAGCCCCAGAGCTGTGGTGTTTCAGCTGATTACAGTGCAGGAACTGCAGGCAGTGCAGGACAAGCTCTAGGGCTGGTACAGAGTTGCTGGCAGGCACAGGAACAGGGCACTGCATTCCTGCAGCCTCCTGGGAGTCTGGCCACTTCAATACAGATAACACACATCTGTGGGTTTGACCAGCATGAGGGAGGATGCGCAGTCACCACTGTCGCAGAATCCTGGCCAGAGGATGTGGTTTTTGGCATTGAGCAGGACATTCTGGCATCTGTCATACCACCAGCCCCCGTAGCTGCTGGCACAGTTCCCACTGTACTGGTCCTGATCTCTGTCGGTTGTGCTAAACTTCATGTTGTCATGTATTCCCCCCTTCTTGGGATAGTAGCTGGTCAGATAGTCATCCCCATCACCAGAAAACCGACCCAGCCTCAGTGGGTATCCAGTGGCTTCGCTCTCCACCCTGAAGATGTCATATTCAGCATAATGGGTGACATTGGCTTTATTCCGCACAACGAAGCGGACCTTGTAGGTGCCTTGCTGTGTGAGCAGGTGCAGGTACTCAGTGCCCAGCCAGTGATCACCCTGCACATTCCCAAAGCCATACTTGTATGTGGTCCAGGATTGCTTCCAAGTGAGCTCAGTGTCATGAGAGTTTCTCTGGACAACAGTCCAGCCCTTTCCTTCGGTGTCCATGTCGCACCACACCACCCGTGGGGGAGACTTTGCTGGCTGGATGACATACACCCCACTGGGGCTGGTCTTGCGGAGATGGCTGCAGTCTGCGGGGAAACCTGCAAAAGCAGCTGTGGTAAACAGAGAGTAGGGTGGGAAAGAGGAGGGCCATATGAGTCCGTCAGGACAACAAGGAGCTCCTACAACAGAGAAAAAGGACCCAGAACAAAAAGGGCTGTTTTTATCTGTGGTCTAATCTGCATAAGTGCTTCCACTGGCTGGGATCTATTAGATCTAATAGATATGCCCTGGGATCTATTGCTCATGACTTGATATTTCATTTGGAGCCTGCTGATGCATCTGTACAAGAAGGGAGGGGGAAGAAAATCTTCCAGATACCGGTCACATCTTAGAAGCATAGCTGACCTGCACACTGAGCCCTTAATATATTGAGCTGCAGTTCCTGCAAAGATCAGAAGTGTGCAAAATGCTCCACTGGATGAAGACATGTATGAAAAATTATGTTTTCCCTGGAGGTCATGGCATTGCAAAAGAAGACTAAGAACTAAGAAGTTTTACCTAGATCTGATGGAGATGTCTTCCCCCAGCTTGTTGCAGTTTATCTGTTAGCAGGACTGATCTGTCATTATTAACTTGCCAAACTAGTTTGCCATCTAATTTGTTTTTCTTGTTTTGTTTCTGATGATGGGCAACTTTCTGTGGATACTTCAGATTCAGCCTTCGAAATTCTGCTTATCTTGGGCATAAAGGTCTTGCATGGAATATTACCCTCCCTTCAAGAAGGAAGGGAAGACTCCTAATCAACAAGAGCTACAAAAATAAGTGGATGGATGGATGGATGGATGGATGGATGGATGGATGGATGGATGGATGGATGGATGGATGGATGGATAAAAAGATAGATAGATAGATTAGATAGATAGATTAGATAGATAGATAGATAGATAGATAGATAGATAGATAGATAGATAGATAGATAGATAGATAGATAGGTAGATAGGTAGATAGGTAGATAGATAGAGATAGATTTGCTGGGAGGATCTCTGATGGAGCTGAGGTGTAAAAAGAAAAAAGCACTGCAGAGCAATCCTGCCAAGTTACAGTGTTTAGGCAGAAACACTTTGGTTTCAGCCTGGAGCCACCAAGGGTTCTAGGCTGGCTTAATGAGTGTCAGGCTTCTTATCTTACAAGATATGGTCCAGGGGTTAGTGTGCATGAGGAGTTGTTGTGTTGTGCCTAAGCCTGACTGCATCGTGGCCTATCTGGCACTTAGCAGACCCATGGGTCAGTGCTGAGCCAAGCAGATACTTTCCTGCCTTGGTACCCAGCCATTGCCCCCAGTCTAGTCCATCCGTACTTACCAGTCCGGGAGCTGGCAGTGGGTACTGCTGGGCCTGCACTCACACAGAGGAGAAGCATCACCATCACCACAGGCAGGATGACAAGGTTCCTGTGGAGCAGGCGTGTCCCAGCCTGGAGCCCTGGGGATGGGAAGGCCCAGCACTGTCAGGATCCCTGAGCAGCCCTCCCAGCCCCTGCCAATGTCCCCCAGAAAGCCCTGACCAGAGAGGGCAGAATCACAGGACCCAGATCCAGAGGATGGGTCCTACTGTACACGTACCACCACCCAAGCAGACAGGAGGAAGTCTCCTGGTCCCACACACTAACATGAGCCTAAGCCCTCTGTTGCTGGCCACCGGAACACCCCTAAGCCCTGCACCAGCTCAGTACTGGGGGAGATGCCAGTCATGCCTGGGGAAGGACCCCTGTGCATCCATAAGTGCCACATGTATCAACCAGGAAAGAAAAGAAACAGGTTGGAATTCAGTAACCTCCTCCGACAGGACAGGGGAATACAGGATATAGTTAGCCTGGAAAAAGCATAATCTGGCACCATGAATGTGTGTTGTCTGGTGCTTTGGTTTTGTATTCCTTCTGCTACCTTGGTGCCTGGCCTTGCATCACCCAGGCAAGATCATGGTTGCTGTCCTGACAGTAATCTTGCGCCTTTGTGTACTCACCCTGTGCAGGTCTCATTTGAGCCCAGCACCACATATGAATGCAGTGTGCCTCTGGGAAGGTAACTCACCCATCACAAAAGCACAGCTGAGCAGAGAGCAGGAACTCAGTGATGCAGCCTCCCATGCCAAGCTTTGCATGGTGACTTTATAGGTACTGCACCCACTTGTGGTCACAGTTGTTATTTGTAGAGGTACTAGTAGACACTTACAGCACTTACAGACTGTGACTCAAGCAACTTTCAGATCGCATGACAGCATAAGTAAGCTCACTGGAGGGAGGGAGTCATGCCCTTCCATCCAGAGAAGTACAAAATAATCCCCTCCATAAGGAGGGATTTCAGTTATTGACTCTTTCAGCTACACAAACACTACATGTGAATTGCCCACTTGGAACAATTTCTGGAGAGCCATGATCAAACTCAAGTGGAGAGAGCCAGCTTTTTAAGGACACAGACTACCAAGGTTAGGTTTCCATTTGTCCAGTTTCAAAGGTGACCTTGGAAAAATGAGTACACATCTTCAAGAGACCTTCCTACTTGCTAACTCTCCACTGGCAGGTTTCAGGATCAATGAGTTAAGTCATTGGGCTGGAACCAGTGTCCAGCAGCCAGAAGTTGTTGCATATAGAATGTCCCAAGGCACCACAATCTGCATAGGCTAAGCAGAGAGCATGGCTCCAGGTGACAAACAGGTGTCTGTGGTTCCCTTTTCCATTCTCCTTCCCAAACCCTGTCTTTGGCCTGGCAAAGCCCTTCAGAGCCCCCAGCCCCAGTAATGTTGCCCTGTGGCAAAATGCTCTCAAAACAGGTGGTTTGGGAGAACTGCCTTTTAGGCCAGAAGGTGCAGACAACTCTATCACTTTGTCAAGCCAATTCTAAGAGTGTAAAGATATGGCCCTTCTGCTTTCTTCTCCTGGCAGACAAGCACTGTTTTCAGCAGTGTATAGACCAGATCTGTCGTCTTCTTGTCACAGCTTTAAATCCAGTGTGCACACCAAACAATCAAACTGAGGCTCCAACCGAACTTTCCATACTTCAGGAACCCATGTCAATTAATGCAGCTTGGAGGTCTGGATGGACACTGGCATCCAGCCCTCTCTGAGATAAGGGCTCCTTGGATCAAATTCCATCTGCACCCTTACATCTCACCCCTTCTTGCTTGGTTAGAGAGTGAGAGTCTGAACATCCCAATCCCCTTGCCCTTAGCCTTCTTTAGTTTGAGAAGCATAAAAGCAGCAATTCCAAGTCCATAGGTGGAGGAAAGCCCAGGTTACCCTGAGAAGAAGGACCCCAGGCAGAAGGGCTATGCTTCCGTTCTGTGTAGGCAGGGGAGGGAAGTGGGTGACTTAGGGGCTCCCATGAGCCACCTTGTGTCAGAGGCCATTGGAGGTGAGAAATGGAAGGTCTCAGGTTGCCTGTGCCAGGGCTAGCTGGCGAACTGCTGCTTGGCCCACTGCTCACAACAGGACTGCTCGATGCAGAGGGAACATGAGCCCCATGGGGCATGGAAAGTCCTCCCTGCTCCTTTGCATAGCAGACTCCACTAGACTGTGCCAAATGAATGCATATGGTATTTATTTCAAAGAAGCAGTGTGTCAACAGGACAGCTTATCTGCAACTCAGCAGATAACAGACAACTCTGTTGTAACTTTAGCTCAAATATTCCAGTGTCTTCAAGGCTATAAAACAAGTGTTTTCTAAATCACTCTGAAGTGGGATCTGTTTATAAGAAAGATGCAAGAGAAACTGTGAGAAGATAAAAGTTGGAAGCAGAGCTGAGGTCAACATCCAAACACTGCGCTCCAGAGAGGGAGAGCACACAGCACTGTGCAGGACTTAAGGGAGAATGAGCTACATCTCTGGGAGAAGCAAAGGCTGGCTGCTCCTTAAGGGCAGGCAAGTCAGGAGCTCAGTCAAGAAAACAGTACCCTCACCAAAGGGGCTCTGTGTTGCAAGGGCTGAGCACAGCAGACAGCTGAGTGTTGGCGACACCCCTAGACAAGGCAAACCTGGTTGATTAACCAGGTCAAGGATACTATACAAAAGGACAAAAGGCAAGGGACAGGTCTGGGGATAAGCTACAACATGGATCAGAGTGGTCAATCTAGGAGACAAACTACCTATGGTATAGGTCTAAGATCCATTCAGAAAGCAAGGCCATAGACAGGACTGGAGCCCAGTTACCCATACAAGTATTTCAGGTCAAGACTAAAGGCCTAGGGCTGAGCTGGAACTTCATGGATGCATGGATTGAACTAACTGAAGGTCCCAAGTGGAGTTGGTGCCAGGGGGTGCTGAGCCATTAGGGCACACCAATGTGCTCAAGGCCATGCTAGTAGCAGTTAATCCTAAAAGGGTAAATCACACCTGGCTGTACAAGGCTCTCATGCTCCACAGGCCCTCTGACTGTGTTCCCTAGCCTTTACTATTGCTCTTCACACTGATAAAGTGCCTTTTCCTGGGAGTACAATGCATGTTCTGCTGCATCCACCTCTGCATCTTGCACAACACCTGGCACCATGGCTGTAGTTGTTAAGAAATACAAGGGCATAGGGGCTGAGGAAGGAGTGCTCTTCAGGGAACTAGAGAAACGTGAGGTAACAAAGAGTGGAACAAACTTTGAGTGTTGCTGGTCTGACCTCTAGGACAAAGCAGGGAAAATTTAGCATGGGTTACTTGGGGTCATGTCAAGTGGGTTTGTTTGTTTGTTTGTTTGCTTTTCCCAGTGTTTGAACAGCCTCAGCGTAATACTTTTTTTTTTTTTAATCAAATTTTAATTTCCCTTCCTTCTCTTGTGTCCATCACCTCTCATCCTGTCCCCGAGCATCTCATAGCAGATTCACAGAATCACAGGGTCATACATTAATTTAGGTTGGAAGGGACTTCTGGAAGTCATCTTGTCCAACCACCTTTCTCAAAGCAGATCTATAAAGTTCACATCCTTGTCCAGTCAAGTACTGAAAACCTATAAGGATGGAAATCCGACAGCCTCCCTGGGTACCTGTTCCAGTGTTTGACCAACTTCATGCTAAAAATAGTCCCTATTTCTAACTGGAATATTCCAATATTCCAAGTTAGATCTATTGCTTCTTATCGCATCACTATGCACAATGAGAACAATCTGGCTTTGTGTTCTCTGTATCTCATGAAGTAGTTGTAGACAGCATTAAGGTCTTCCCTTTTCCTGCTCTTCTCTTTAAGGTATTGATCCCTAGGAAAAAAAAAAAAAAGATGGATTGGAATTTTCTTTAAGAATTACATGCTGTAATTTGCAGAGAGAGGCTTGAACTAAGACCATTTACATCAGTGCCATGTCACACTTCCTAAAACTCCCTTGTGACTGCTTCAGGGGCAGTGGTACCAGGCACAAGCACAGCACATGTTGCAAAAGAGGCAGGGTGGTTGTGGCAGGCATGTCAGGAGACACATGGAGTAGTCCTTTCTGAAGTTCAGTGCTTACATAAAAAATGCAAAATTTGCCAGGAACACTTGAGTACCTCTTTCCTGAAAATAGTAGAGGATGTAAATGGGTCCCCAATGGCTGTTTAGCTCAATGCCTCCTCTGGAAAGAGCGATTTACCCATTGACATTTGATTTCCATCCAGGAAGGGAATGTCATCTGGGTATTTACTTTCAAGTTGAAATGTTCAGGGTGCTCAGAGGATACTGTTCCCTGGGGAAACCCTTCAAGCAGGGAAGTGGGAGTGGAGGTGGGAAGAGGCAGACATTGTAAATTGAGGTTGTTCAATGCACTGTCTCATGAGCTCTTAATTATTTGCTTTGCCTCTGAAGAAATATCTGCATCTTTTTAAAACACAGCCTTCTTTGTTTGAGGACATATTACTTAATGATGAAGAGCAAATAAGCCATAAAACATTGATGCTGTTGCCAGCCAGAGCATAAGTGCTGTGGTTTGGGTCTCGTGCCTCCACCCCCTTACCTGCCGAGTCCTATAACTTTCAGGCTGGACACCTCTCCAGCCAAGCCAAACCTGCCTGGCTTTCCACTCTGCAGGGTCCCCTCAGAGACAGCATGGGTGAGTGTGGGCTGGGCTGGGAGGGAATGGCACTGTGCTGCTGAACGTGCTGTGGATCCCAGAGCACTTTGTCTGCTGCTGGGCTCACTTCTGCCCACACCCTGGCTATTGCAACACTAAGTCCATTAGTCTGCCCAGACTCACTGTGCCCTGGGGTGGGAGCTGGAACAGAAGACTGCATTTTCTGCTATGTACACGCTGTATCAGTGTAGCCTTGCAGTGCCAGATAGCCCATTTTACAAGATGCAAGTTTATCAAACATTCTTTGTAATTTTCAGTTCTGCAGAGAAAATATTAAATACTCTAGCACAGAAAATGGATTTTATAATTATTAATTTTTTTTAGATATTCTTCTTATATAATATTGAACAGGTATCAAGATCTAGAGTTTAGATGATTTGAAAACACACTGCTGTCCCCAGAAGAACACCCAGGAGTGGCTGTTCTTCTCCTTTGCATCTCCATCCTAGTCAGACCTTTCAAGGCTAATTATGGAGGAATGGGCCAGTAGTGGAAGGAACATTGCTTCTCTAATGGCCTGAAGACATGATATCTTTAAACAGGTCCCTAAACACAAGTGTGTCAAGACGCTCAATGTTAGATAGCAATTGAGAAACAAATCAGTTGGACTGGAGAGTGATTAAAAGAGCTCTGGTGTAGAACTGTATCCAGCACAAACCATTTGGACAACTCTCAGTATTCCCAGAAAGGGGTGTTTATGTCTAGGATGGCTGAGATCACACATACTAGTTCCAGTCTGGCAATCCCAGTTTGAACACTTTCCTTCTCAGTCATCTCTAAGAACCTGCCAAAACTAGGTATCCCATGGCAGCGCTGGGATAGGCTCTGCTCCTGTTCAAACAGTAGAGGGATCATACTAGTAATCTGACAGGATGAGCTGTATCTATTATATCATGGATTTGTTTTCCCTATGAGTAGGTATCTCTGTAATTCCCCGCTGTTCAGGAACCATGATAAATTTTCTGTCATTTTATTTAGATTTAATATTACAAAAAGTGTGCTGGTTTTCCTAGCTTCTCCAAACAAGAACAGTCTGGGTCAGATGGCTACATGTGGACTTTCTGAAGTAGCCATATATAAAAGAGATAATTTGCAACAGCTAGGCAGTGGCTTTTGAATGTTTCTTCTGCTTCCTCCGACACATCTGGGTTCTTACTACCCACCAACCTGGGCTGGGAGCAAGTGTACTCCCAGTTCACACCAGAGAATACATATGAATGGGATCTGGGAGGAAAGAGGATACCTCTTTCCATCCTTACCCTACTTGTTATCTCTAGCCCCAAGACTTGGTTTTCACAGGGATTTCTGATTACAGTTACTTTGGGTTTGGACAAGGTTTTCACACCTTATCTGTCTCAGAAATCACCAACATAAGCTGCCACTGCTGATGACTCCTGTCAATGAGTATTTGATAGTTCATCTAAGGTAGTGAATTGGGACTTTGAGCTCCAAGAGGGAGCTCTACAAATAAATAAATTTATTTTTGTATTTTACTCTGCAAGAGTCAAGTGGGACTCATGGAAGAGTTATGTGCCCTTTCTTCTTCTTCTTTTATTTTTTTTCAATTTCTTCCCATATTAGCTACCCGGTACCTTTGTCTCCTGATTTGTACCTCCCTGCTGGCTCCGGCAGCACTTCTTGCCTTTGACATAAAAAACTTACATCTTTGCAATGGCACACTGGATGAAATTATGAATCTTCACCCAGAGTCCTTCCAGCTTGGTAAGTATACCACTGTAACAGGGAGAGGCAGACAAAGTCATGTTCAGTAAGATCCTAGATAGCTCTCCACCCCAACCTGACCCCACCCTTGTGCCATGGAGGAAGGACCAAATATTACTCTATGTACAGACAATACCAATTTGCTACCAATTTAGGCTACTTTACTGGAACAAGAATAATCTCAGAGTCATCCTCTGATTGTAGCCTGCCTCATCTTCTGTGTGATATTAAGTTCTTCTGCCCATATGTGAGTCCAATAGTCTAAAACCCAGAGTTCCCAAGATCACAGGAAAAGGAACAGGTCCAATCTCACTGGCAGGAAGACCAAGGCAATGGTGCTCTGGACAATGGGTGCTTCCTTGGAGAAGTAGTGTAACAGGTGTTGAAGTAGTGTTACAGGAGTTAAACCAAACGATCACACTGTTTTGATGACAGCAAGAACATTAGCCACCTCTGGAAATCACAAGGTTAGCAAGAGAAAACTGAATGCAGAGGAAATGAGTGAAGTTACAACAGAGTCTGTAGTAACAGTCAGAATCCGTAGTAAGTAGTGTCACTGACATAGGCTAGTCAGATGACAGCAGGGAGTAATTTATTAACTACCAGGGAGCATTGGAGCTATGAGGAAGCCTCCTAGAAAAAATGGGTGGCTGTGTGAGCAGAAAGAGATGGTTCACTTACAATGGAATAAGAGTTTTTGGCAGAAAGGGACAAGGTCCAAGTGTTCAACACTGGTTTCACATCAGCCTTCACTGCAAAGGTCATCTGTCAAGAAAACGCCAACATGGAGAGCATCTATGACTGAGCGCTTGGCAAGCTTCCCTGAGAAGTGCAAGTCTGAATACATAAAAAGAAGTGTGCTCTGAGCTTCACCCTCATCTCTCACTCAGACCACTGGTATGGTTCTCTAAAAACATAAGCAGCGTGAATGTAAGCTGGGTAAGCAGGGAGACATGCCAGGTAAGACCATATCAACTTGTGGAGGTATGAATCCAAATGGACAGGAAGTGAAAGCAGAAGAGAAGAGGGGCAGACTTTGACTTACAAACAAATGTTAGTGAATAGCTTCATATTGCTGTAGTAAAAGTAAATACCCTGCTTAGAAAGTGCACGGAAGTTGCAAGAGTGTTTTCCACTCTACACAGGCTCAGGACAACCACCACATTTACTGGTGAGTTTCAAGAGATATTTAGTGAGAGTTGCAGAAAGGGGGTAAGAAATATGCCAGGTAGACTGTGCCAGGGAAAACTGAAGAATTTAATTGTCCAGCTCCAAAATCAGATGACTATGGAGGAGGATGTGTTAGCAATATACAGTCTAGCTGCAGGAAGAAGTGTACTCTGGTATAGCAAAAGAAGGAATGGGCTTATACACTGTGAAAAAGGATTAAGTTAAACATTTCCTAAGAGGGAGAGGACACGAAAGAACTAGTTGAGAGAGAAAGCAGGAAGCAGATATTTGAGGATGGCAAAGAGCAGCAGCTGTAGGGTTAGATGTCTATTTTGGAGAGGGGATGGGATTAATTTGTTTGTTTGTTTGTTTGTTTGTGATGGGCATGGCTCACAGGCCTGTGATCCATGCGTCTGTTTTTTAACCATCATTGTATACACACAAGGTGTCTTTGTGAACAAGTTGCATTATTTCACTGTGAACCATCCAGCAACACCCTTCAAATTCCTTTCTGAGCCAGCTGAGCAGAGCTCCTCTTAAAGTTCCTGATACCAGAACTGGTTTTGCTGTGTCATCTCTCACATTTCTTTCCCCTCTAATCCCTCTTCTTCCTGAATCTGTTTCTAACTTCTACTGTAAATTAGCAACTGTCTTCCTACTGTTGCTACCACTATTTAAGGTTCTTCCCACACAAAGTGTGCTCTAACCATTCTCATCAAGGAAGCATCTGCCCCATACTAACATCATGTAAATTACAGAATCACAGAGAATGGTTGAGATTGGAAGGGACCTCCAGAGATCATCTAGTCCCCCTGCTCGAGCAGGGTCACATAGAGCATGTTACATAGGATGGCATCCAGGTGGGTTTTGAATAGCTCCAAAGTAGAAGACTCCACAGCCTCTCTGGGCAGCCTGTTCCAGTGCTCTGTCACCCAAGCTGTAAAGAAGTTCTTTCTCATATGGCAATGAAACTTCCCGTAGTTCAATTTATACCCATTACCCTTTGTCCTATCACTGGCCACCACCGAGAAGAGTTTGGCCCCATCCTCTCTACATTGTCCCCTCAGGTATTTGTAGAGGTAAATTGCCCTGAACTACCATCTGGCTGATACCTGAAGTGGTAAAGGTATGCTACTCTGGAGTGAGGAACAACAACAGCCAAAAAATTGGAATATCATCTGGAGAAGATTATGTTCTCCCAGTAGGCATTTGATATGTACTCTCAACACTCAGTCCTGTCTCCTCTGTTCTTTTCAATTCAGATAAGGATGACAAACATGTTCGGCAGGTCAGAGACATTGCCCCTCATCCACCAGTGGCTCATGGTAAGTCTATTCTCAAGAAGTACATCTGCTCAATAGATTGCACCATTACTAAGAGCCTAGAGGCTCGTGAAGAGTTCTCAGCCACCTCAGTCCATATCCTACATGTACACAGGCTCCTGCCAGGAAAAATGTTGATTTTCTACGATCCTGGGATTCTGGAGAGGTCCCGGTAGACTTAAAGCTGGCAAATGTTGTGCCGATTTTCAAGAAGGGTCAGAAAGAAGACCCTAGCAATTACAGGCCTGTCAGTCTCACGTCAGTGCCTGGTAAAATCATGGAGAAGATGGTTCTCGAACTTATTGAGGCGCACCTGGGGGACAAAGCAGTCATTGGTCCCAGCCAGCATGGGTTTGTGAAGGGCAGGTCCTGCCTAACTAACCTGATTTCCTTTTATGATAAGATCACCCGTATGGTGGACCAAGGGAAACCAGCTGATGTGATTTTTTTGGACTTCAGCAAGGCTTTTGACACGGTCTCCCATAGGATCCTACGGGACAAAATGTCCACCATACAGCTAAATAAAAACATCATACGATGGGTGAGCAATTGGCTAACGGGCAGGGCCCAAAGGGTTATGGTGAATGGCGCTGCGTCAGGCTGGCGGGCGGTCACTAGTGGGGTCCCTCAAGGCTCCATTTTAGGGCCGGTACTTTTCAATATTTTTATAAACGATCTGGATGTAGGAATAGAAGGCATTTTGAGCAAGTTTGCCGATGACACCAAACTTGGAGGAGTTGTGGACTCGAATGAGGGTGGAAAGGCCTTGCAGAGGGATCTGGATAGGTTGGAGAGCTGGGCGATCGCCAACCGCATGAAGTTCAATAAGAGCAAGTGCCGGGTCCTGCACCTGGGACGGGGAAACCCTGGCTGCACGTACAGACTGGGCGATGAGACGCTGGAGAGCAGCCTAGAAGAGAGGGATCTGGGGGTCATGGTAGACAGCAAGTTCAATATGAGCCAGCAGTGTGCCCTGGCAGCCAGGAGGGCCAACCGTGTCCTGGGGTGCATCAAGCACGGCATCGCTAGTAGGTCGAGGGAGGTGATTGTCCCGCTCTACTCTGCACTGGTGTGGCCTCACCTTGAGTACTGTGTGCAGTTCTGGGCACCACAGTATAAAAAGGACATGAAACTGTTGGAGAGTGTCCAGAGGAGGGCTACGAAGATGGTGAAAGGCCTGGAGGGGAAGACGTACGAGGAACGGCTGAGGGCACTGGGCCTGTTCAGCCTGGAGAAGAGGAGGCTGAGGGGAGACCTCATCGCAGTCTACAACTTCCTCGTAAGGGGGTGTCGAGAGGCAGGAGACCTTTTCTCCATTAACACTAGCGACAGGACCCGCGGGAACGGGGTTAAGCTGAATCAGGGGAAGTTTAGGCTTGACATCAGGAGGAAGTTCTTCACAGAGAGAGTGGTTGCACACTGGAAAAGGCTCCCCAGGGAAGTGGTCACTGCACCGAGCCTGACTGAATTTAAGAAGAGATTGGACTGTGCGCTTAGTCACATGGTCTGAACTTTTGGGTAGACCTGTGCGGTGTCAAGAGTTGGACTTGATGATCCTTAAGGGTCCCTTCCAACTCAGGATATTCTATGATTCTATGATTCTAATAGGCTACAGAAGTGTCACAGCTCATAGTCTCAGATGGACCCTAATACCAGCCATGTCCTGGATTTAATGATGAGGGATTTTAACATGAAGTTTCTATCTAAAGATCTAAACTGTAAAGTCATGCTTCATTATTTGCCTTCAGATTGTGGCGTTTGGTTATTATCCTATTTTTGCCATTCATTTGAAGACAAGGCAGTGTGGGAAAAGGACTGACTTCATAACAGAACTCACTAAGTCAACATCAGCCCATATGACCACATGATAAGGTTTCACCGGGTAGAAATAACCACTGGTATGTGGGTGAACACATCACTTCATTGTTTAAGGGGCTGACACTCTAGAGAATGGAAAGACTGATAAAATAAAATAAGTCAGAAAACCTCTAAAGAGCTCTTGGGTAAGCCCAAAGAAAACCAGTGGATTTGTCCTATTGAGATCACAAAGGCTGATTTTGTTATGAGCAATATGGATGTCTGGACCACACTCTGGGTTTTCTAAAATAACTATAAATCTCTAATCCTTCCATGCAAGTGGCTTTAGAACCCAGATTTGCATTTATCTCTGTGGTGATATATCACCAACATGCTACAGGTGAATCACCACAGCACTGCAGTGGTGTGGTGACAGAGACACTGAACTGGACAAAGTTGTATTGTGTGCTGGTTGAAGGCAATGTTTTTGATTATTTCAAGACTTTAAATTACTCCTGTGGAATATGTCAGGAATACAGCTCAGGATTGTATGTGCAATAAAATATAGGTACAAAAGAATTACCAGGTGATTTCAGTGTCTCATTGTATGCAATGCAATGCAATAACCAGCTCTGTTTCCTGCTCCAGGCTGGCCCAAGGACTGCAGCGAGATCCCTGCTGGTAGCCGCAGTGGTGTCTACATAATCCAGCCAAAAGGACTCCACCAGCTTGTGGTGTACTGTGAAATGAATGTGACAAATGGGGGCTGGACAGTCATCCAGAGGAACCAGAAAGACACAGCTGTCACCTGGGCTGAGTCCTGGAGCACCTATAAATATGGCTTTGGGAATGTGCGCAGCGAGTACTGGCTGGGCACCGAGTATATTCATCAGATTGCCAAGCAGAAGGTCTACCAGGTCAGATTTGTCATCTGGGACACCAAAAACAACATCAAATTTGCAGACTACAACCTCTTCAGTGTGGAAGATGAATCCCATGGCTACCGGCTGAGGCTGGGCTCCTACACAGGGACAGCGGGAGATGCCATGACTTCAGACAATCCCAACACTATGCATGACAACATGAAGTTTTCCACAAAAGATCGGGATCAGGATACTTACAGTAAGAACTGTGCCTATAGCTATGAGGGCGGGTGGTGGTACTCAGCATGTTATTCTGTACGGCTGAATTTCAAGGGTGGCATGACATGGGGTAGCCTGTGTAAAGGGGACTGCAAATCCTCCCTTATCCTCATCAAACCAGCTCCATACTGTTAGTGCTTCTTCCCGCTCCTGTATGAACTGGGTGCTCTCAAAGGCTCTGCACAGCTTGAGCGTTTCTGTAGCAGAGAGAAGAGCCTAAGAGTATCAGGGTTTTATTGAAATGCCTCTTTCTTTTTTCTGTCTCTGAGTGGCTTCCCCTTTCTTTAGCTCTTTCCTTGTGCTTGCCAATGATTCCTTTTTATTACGTTCATAATCAAGAAAAAAAAAAAAAAAGGTGAAACGTGGATTCTGCATATACCTTCCCTGTTGGAGGAAGACACTGAACCCTGTAATGACTTTTTGTCAGTGATTATTAGTTGCCTCCAGAATTCACAATAAGCAAAACAGCTTTGTGCCACGAATTCCATACACTCTGTGTCTCTCTGTGGTGTCTGGTAAAGCAGCCAAATAAATTTGCTTCCTTGAGCTCCATTAATGAATGTCTGTTCTGTATCTCTGATGTGCTCCCACTCAGACCAAAGAAATCCCATGTCAGGTGCTAAGACTGAAGCAATGGAGCTTATAGAGAGAAAAAGTCTGGAGTGTTTCTCACAGAAATGTATGTAAGAGAATTTAAAACTAGTTACACTGAGATATAGGACCTGTAAATCTGTGCAGGAGGTTTCAGAAGGGATGCAGCACATGAAAGAACTCTTCACACATCATCACCATGTTCACAGTCCAGTGTAAAATTCTGTGGTGATGTCCCTGTGATGACATCATCCTGCTGGGAGTCTGTGTCTGTCAAGAGTTGGTCATGGCACCTGCATGTCTGCACAGTCATGCTTTGATCCTACATAAAAATGATATCAAAGATGTAAGTACATCTTTCTACTGTGACCAAGAAGCACTGAACATAATGGAAGCAAAAGAAAGGTAGGTTAGATGTTAGGAGTTGGTTGAATTAGGACAGATTATAATGAGGAAAGAGCCTATTACAGGAATGAGCAGAGTGTAGCTCATCATATCAAAATCCCAAAGATCAATTTAGATGAACCTTTGTCAGGAAAGGTGCAGACTGAGCTGATGCTGTGAGGCTGCAGGACAAGGTCTCTGAAGCTCCTTCATCCCATGACACTATGGTGCTGCCAGGACATACTGTTCAAGAAGCACTGTCACCCTCACAAAGGGTTCTGGCTTTGTTTTGAGGCAGCACAGCACCAGCAGTGCTTGCTCTCTCTTCACTTGCTCTCCTGAGAGCCTCCAGCACCAAGCAATGACCCACGAAGACAGAGTGCAGAGAACTGGTGGGATCTCAGAATCCAGCCCATGCCAAAGTCTGTTACTTTGGCTGGAATCCCCACTTGGCCTTGGAGAGTGACCCATTAGAGACTCTGCAGTGTCACTTGGCCCTTTCCAGAGATGAGAGAATATCCAGCTTTGGAAACAATCCAAATTAAATAAGACATAGCCCTGAGCAGTCTGATTTGCTTTGGGGGTCAATTCTGCCATGCAAGGGTTGGACTAGAGATCCCAAAAGTGCCTTTCCTGACACCAGTTATCCTCTAAGACAGAAAGGGAACATTCACTCTGAGAAAAAGCTATGCCTTTGATTCCCTCATTATAGTGTCTCCTTGCAATGGGCACCACAGTGCAGAGAGGGAGTGCACAGGGCAGGTCAATGATGGGACTTGGCATCAGCTGGTAGAGAAACACCCATAGCAGCAGATGAGGAGAATGGGTGGCTGGAAGGTGTTCTCCCTGCCATACACTGTCCTCAGAGCAGATTTGGCTTTCAGAGCCAGAAGGCTCAATGATTTCAGGTGGCACCAGGCAGACTGAGAAATGACATTGCTGCTGCTCCTGGGCCTCTGAGGTTTCCAAGTGGAACTCCAAAACTGGACTTGTGTTTGCACGGCCAGTCTAAGGAGCAAATGATCCTCATCCCCGCACAACAGCACATCCCAGTGTGCAGCCAGGTTGTCATCTCTCCTACAACAGCACTAGCTCTACACAGCTCCTTCTAAGCTTTGCTTTCCAAATCCAAATGCTTTCTAAGTCCTGCTTGGCTCCTGGCTACCCAATGGTAGTGACCTCCAGCTCCCAGCAGTTCAATGGCAGCTTTACTTTGCACAGTTCCGGTAGCCAGAGTTGGTTTGAGGTGACACCTTGTATTGGGCTTACATGGCAAGGCTGTGGTAGCAGGGGAGCTGCAGAGAATTGAGAATGAAATTGAGAATGAAATTCTCAATTCATTGAGAATTCAATGCAGGGTTGAATTCTGAGAGAAGAGCCCATTAGCTGTCCCATGTTAGAGAGGAGCAGGTTTGAGATGTCTCCAAAAGGACCTGCCACTGAACAAAGCTGAGCTAATGAGCAATGCTAGTACTCTGGGGGAGTACTCTGAAGGGGAAAACTGCTGTGAAACAACAGCTGGGACAAAAGAGTAAGAAAACAGGGAGAAACAAACCTACAGACCCCAAGGTCAGTGTAGATGGAGGGCAGAAGGTGCTCCAGGTACCAGAGCAGAGGTTCCCCTGTGGCCTGTGGAGAGGCCCCTGGTGGAGCAGGCTGTCCCCCTGCAGCCCATGGGTCCCACATGGAGCAGATCTCCACGCTGCAGCCCATGGAGGAGCCCCCCAGTGGAGCAGGTGGATGTGGCCTAGAGGAGGCTGCGGCCCATGAAGACCCCCAGCAGGAGCAGGCCTCAGGCTGGAGCTGCAGCCTGTGGAGAGGCGCCCACGCAGGAGCAGGGGCCTGGGGTGAGCTGCTGCCCGTGGGGGACCCATGCTGGAGCAGTTTGCTCCTGACAGATGGGCCCCATGGTATGGAGCCATGTGGGAGCAGTACTTGAAGAGCTGCTGCCTGTGGGCAGCCCCCGCAGGCTCAGTTCAGGAAGGACGGCGTCCTGTGGGAGGGACCCTGCATGGAGCAGGGGCAGAGAGGGACTGAGCAGGAGAGGCAGAGACAAAGAGACTGACCTTGCCAAGGTCAGTCTCCTAATAAGAGGGTGAGCTTCTCTGATGAAACTGGTGGAAACTGGTCCTGTGGAATGGGCAAGATCCAAGGAGCAACTGAGTATGCGCAAAGACAAGAGGTCAAGTAGCGGTGACGAGTAAGAGTCATCAATCTTCATCCCCACGACCCCTGATGACCACCACCAGAATACACTGCACAGGCGCAGATGGGAGGAGTTTATGGAAATGACTTATTGGAACTAATTTTAATACGAAGCGAGGACAGGTTATTAATATGTATTGGTGTATTGTGAAACTTCATGCATATGTAACTCTTTACTGCATATAACCAAGGCAAGTTGCTGAATCAGGGGCGCACGACTTTGGCGGTACTACCCCCCGTGCTGCCCAGCGCTGAATAAACATAACTACTTTACAATCTTACTGATTGTGGAGTCTGTTTTCCACAAGTCAAAGCCAGGGATAGAAGAATGGGGGCTTGCTTAATCATATTAATGATTTCTAAATAAAACAATCGTAATTATTAAAGCCAGGAATGAAAGAATGGGGCCTTACTTAATTGCTTTAAAATATATATTGCTGAGTGTCTTTGCTTACTACTGTGCAAATTAACCAAAACAAGGAGTCTTGGGGCCCCTCACAGAAGATGTTTCCTGACAAAAATGAGGAACCTGTCTCAAAAACTAGCTGAGACCGACCTTGTGGTTTGGACAAGAGCCAAGGAGCAGCTGAGTCTGTACAAAGGCAAGGGGTCAACTAGTGGTGATGAAGAGGAGTTATCAGACTTCATCTCCACAACCCCCGGATGACCACCACCAGAAGGCACTGCGCAGGTGCAGATCAGAGGAGTTTATGGAAATGACTTATTGGAGCTAATTTTAATATTGGGATGGGTTATGAATATGCATATATATAGGGAAATTCATGCATATGTAACTTTTTACTGCATATAACCAAGGGAAGTTGCCGTGTTAGGGTCTGCATGCGTTTGGGAGCTATTCCGCCTGTTCCTAGCACCGAAATAAACCACATACCTACTTACAACTTATTTGCTTTGAGTTATAGAGTTCTTCCGCAAGTCACACAAGCTGCAGCGTGCAGATCTGCTCCATGTGAGACCCATGGGCTGCAGGGGGACACCAGGGGCCTCTCCACAGGCTGCAGTGGAACTTGTGCTGCATGCCTGGAGCACCTCCTGCTGCACTGACCTTGGTGGCTGCAGGGTGTTTCTCACTCCTCTCTCTCCCAGCTGCTGTTGTGTAGCATTTTTTTTCCATTGCTTAAATGTGCTCTAAGAGGTACAGACAACCTTGCTTATTGGCATGGCTCTAGCCAGTGGTGGGTTCCTTTTGGAGATGGCTGAAAATGGACCTTATCTAACATAGAGCAGCTTCTGGACTTTTCTCACAGAGGCCATCCCTGCAGCAGTCCCCTTTCTGCCCCATCTCCCCTGTACCCCTCCCCTCCTCGCAACAAAATTCTTGCCACATAAACAAAACAAGCATGCACAGAGCAGGTGCAGTGCGGGATGCAGACAGCAGGTGCAGCACGCACACAGCGAGGTGCAATGCAACACAGGATGCTCACAGAGGGTTCAGTGCAGGATGCACGTAGCGGGTACAGGAAGCACACAGCGGGGTGCAGGATGCACAGAGCAGGTGCAGCAGACACACCGCGAGGCGCAGTGCAGTGCAGCGCAGGAAGCACACAGCGGGCGCAGCATGCCCGCAGCCCATCACAGTGCGCGGCGGAAGCGCCTTGATCCCGGCGGCCCCGTTAAGGCGGACGGGGCGGGGCGGAGCTCCGGCCGCGCGGCTCCCGGTGCCGCGGTCGGCAGCGGACGGCGGGGTGTCCGGCCAATGGCCCGGCCCCTGGCGCCCCCCGAGGCCCCGCGCTGCTTCGCGGCGCTGAGCACGGTGCAGCTGCGGGCGTTGCTGCAGGACGAGCCCCGGCTGCAGCGCGCCGCCCGCCTCAGCAGGAAGGTAGGGGCTCGGCGGGGCTCGGAGGCGGCCGGCAGCTCCGTTCGAGGAGCGGGGCTGGGCGGTCCGGACCCCGGCTCTCTTTGGCCGGGCACTGGCCGGCCTGGCGTCCCAGCCGCGCCGCCTCGGTCGCGGGGGAAGCTTTGTTCGTGTTCGCGGCTGCTCCGGTGCCGCTGCTGCCGCCGGGAGGGGTGGGGCAGCAGCCATCGCACCCATCGAAAACCTGAGCGTGGTCAGAGCCTCTGCCCCTGCTGCTCTCGCTGTTGAGGCAAAGCTGCGATTGCAGGAGAATGGCAGCAAGGGAGGAAACGGCCGAGGGATGTGCCGCGGCCCGGGGGCAGCAGCTCCCCGCCTGGACCCCTCCCCCAGCTGTCCATTTTAAAGTTAATGTAAGCCTGTTTTCAGCATACTTCCACTTGGCCTGCTCTCCGCTTTCCATGGGTGGAAGATGTGTGTGCAGCAAAAGGGGGTGCCTCTCTCCTGACGTCCTCGTTAGCTAATGAGGCCTTTCAGGAGCTGTGACTCGCTGCAGAAGGGAGGCTGGGTAGGCCAGCTGTGAGCACTGCTAACCTACAAGGTAACCTATCCTGTGCTGTGGATGAATTTTTCCTAGGACATGCCCCTTTTGAGGCAGAGGAGATGGTGGGGACGGGGGAGGTTTTGTGGCTCAGAGTGGCTTCAGCTGTGCCTCCTGGTGTGAACCCTGCATCCCCATAGTTTCAGAGTCTGCAGCTGGAGCGGGAGATGTGTTTGGCATCAAACAGTACCCTGGCCAGGGAGAACCTGTCCCTGCGCCCACGGCTGGAGGATGGGAAGGCTTCCTTAGCCATCAAGTACCAGGAGCTACGGGAGATACAAGAAACATGCTGGGACAAGCAGCAGCGCCTAGGTGAGTGGGGGGTAAGACAGAGCTGTGCAGGGCTGGCTGGCATGTCCAGAGAATGCTGCATTAACAGGAAGGCCGGGGTGGGCTCAGCACCCTCAGACGTGCGTGGGGATATGGCCCATTCATGATCAGGAGTGGTGTAAGGTGTAACTGGTGCTCAGCTGCCATGGTGAGATACAAGTTCTGCTGTGAAGATGGCTCCAGGGATGTGTTTGGGGGCTTTTTGTTGAGGAGGGGAGAGCTCCCCTCATGCTTGGGAGTGGGAAAGACCACAATCCCAGCAGTGGGGACATCTGTGGGGAGGTTTTTTGTCAGCTCTATCCTTTCCCGGCACAGAGACGTACCTGGAGAAGTGGAGCCCACAGAGTGCCCTTGGCCAGCTCCAAGCCAAGCTGGATGCCTCCGAGGCAGAGTCAGAGGTAAGTCAGATAAGGCCCCTGTGCTACTGCCCCTTCCTCACCTGGGGCCTGTGCCCTTCTGTGTGCAGGACCCTGGAGAACAGTCCAGGGGCTCAGCCACCTGGGCTCCCTCCATGGTCCCGCAGCTCTCATTGCCCACTGCCTGTCCTGCAGGCACAGATGGAGCAGTTCCTGGCCCAAGACCTGCCCCTTGATGCCTTTCTGGAATCCTTTTGCCAGAGTCGCACACGCTCTCACATCTGCCGGGTGCAGCTGGAGAAACTGCAGGAGCTGCTGCAGAAAGGCAGGGCAGACAGGGACCCTGCAGGCCCTGTGGGGTGCCCAGGTGTCCAAGTCAGCCCAGCGCCAGTCCGCCTTGCTCCTCTGTCGAGCAGAGCAACCCCCAAAGACCCCCATCTCTGCTATCACCTTGTGCCTGCCTGTCTTATCTCCTCAGAGGCTGTTGCGCCCTTTGCCATGCCAGCTATACCTCTGAAATGCCATCTCCCAGCCCTGGGAAAGCAGCCATCAGTCCCCTGCCCTGACACCCCTATGGACTTGCCCTTGCGCCTTGTCCGACATGTCCCCCTGCTCAGCCCCCGTCCTTTCTGCGTGCAGCAGCTGCCACACCACCAGAAGCAGGAGCCACCACACCGATAACAGAACAGGGACAGGACTGTGCCCTGTGGGCTGCATGGTCTTGGCCAGGGAGCACGCAGGGGTTTCCACAAGGCCCTGAGGGGCTGTGGTGGCTGTTGAGCACGTACAGGGGGTGGGTACTTCTGGAGAAGGAGCTGCTTGGCTGAGGATGCGGTGGGGTAGTAAGTGTGGCCAGGCAGTAGATGCTACACTTAGTGAGCTGTTGGGAGGGAAGATATTTCTGTGTCCACAGCAAGAGGAACAGTGATGGGAGATGGGGGTGGGGGTCAGTAGAACCCAGGTGGGTTGGAGGAGTCAGGGAAGAGGGCTCAGGAGCTCTGGGTGCCACATGCTTTCTAAATAAAGACTTTTTTCCATGCTCTGTGTTCTCTTGTTGGCCTGTCTGTGAACAGATGTACAGGAGGGGTGGGGAGGAGGTGCCCTGGGGGGGTGACACTTGCCAGGTTTGGAGGTGACCCTAGGCAGTGCCCTTGTGCTTGGTCCAGTCCATCAACATTGTGAGGATAGTGAGGGTGCAGGAAGTGCAGGTCTCTCCCCAGCCCTGCAGTATTTTTAGTACACGTTCCCTATCCACCCTCTTGCACTAGTCCTGGCTCCCCAGGGACTCCTCTGGGAGTCTTTAAACTCATGCAATGGATGGTGAGACAAAGCTGGGAGGAAGCAGGGTAGTCCTCAGGCAGCCTACTTGCTCCGTGTACTGGGATGTCTCTTGTGCTGGTGTGTTGATGCTGTTTCTAGCCTTTGATTTGCTTTCAGGCTCTTATGCTTTCAATCCATGTCTGGTTGCAGGGTTTTTTGTTTGTTTTCCCCAGCTGTCTATCTACCCTCCAGGTAGGAGGCCCTGTTGTGCAGACAGCTTAGAAATCATCCAAAGAAGCACAGGGCTCTGGCTTCAAAGCATCCCAAAATATGGACTGTAGGCTGGTAGTGCTTGATCACCCCCTTTGCCATGCAGCCAGGGAGGAGATGGGCCGTACTGCTACCCTCACCCATAGTACCCCACCCCATCATCCAAACCCCTACCCTCACCTGTGGCATTGAGGCCAGTCATTCAATTTAACCAGTTCAAACAGGTTTAAGACTAAGACAAATCAGAAACCAGCCACCGAGATGAATGCTGTTGCTTTATTGGCAGGCCAGAAGATTGTGGTGGCTGGAATATTTGTTGTTTTGCGGAACACTTCCTTCTTTCCAGGGTCCTACCGTGCTCGGTTTGTGCTCATCCCTTCAACAAGTGGTGCCAGGACATGGCTGACTGCTGGTCAGGCTCTGGCTTGCCCCACGACACTAATGTGACCAGGGAAATAAGGGGACTGAGTAGGAGCACATAGGAGGCCAGTTTAACTCTCAGCTTTACTGTAAGAAAGGTTCATGCTACAGATCTCAAGAAGTTGCTATTCCTCCAACCCAGTGCCCTGAGGCCAGTGCCCAGGCTCTGGCCAGAGACTCTGTGCAGGACACATTGGCCAAGGGTCCTGGCTGTGGCCTCATTATCCCTCACTACAGTGTTTGCACTGTTTCTTTCACCCCACAGACCATTATTTGCACCTTGTGCAGGCATGGAAGGACCTGAAGCCACTGAAGCGCAATGTTACCACACCCAGCTCCCAGAGAAGGGAAAGGGCCCGGCAGGTGCCTTGGGCATGGTGCTGAGTGCCTAGTGCTCTCTTGCAGTACCGCCCATGGCACTGCAGGGAGGATGTGCACAACCTGTCCTGGGGGACCTTGTTGGCCCAAACCAGCATCTTTTAGAGGGTAATTTTGGTCTTTGCTTCATCCTCCTCACTGTGGCCACTGGCCAAGTCCTCTCCTGGAGCAAGCTCCACGTAGGGCCACCTCAAGGCTGTGTCTGGCAGGGGCTGGGATGCACAGTGTCCTGGAGCCCCCCAGACAGCCATCCAGGCTCCCTCAGGGGCTGCATGGGAGGCTGCCTGAGATGACTGGGAGCTGTGGGAAAAGCATGGGGACATGGGCCCAAGTGATGAGCATGTTGAGCTATGCGAGCTGTGAACGTGCACACAAGAGGGGGTTCTGCTGGGCAAGCACAAGGCTTCTCCTTAGGGATCTGGATGCTCATTTGGGAGAGGAAGGCCATCACAGCTCTTGAGGAAAGGCACTTTCAAGACAAAAACACCCCAAGGAAATGGTACGAGGATAGAGCATGCCAGAACCCAGATCCAGACACCTGTGTGGGTTGAATGTCAGTAACACTTATAAGCTGTGTCAGTTCCCTGCAAGATGGGACTAGAATCAGCCCTGGGATGGGCGCTAGAGCATGTGACCATTGAGGAGCCAAGTCATCCAAAAAACAGCCAGGCACAAATGGTCAGTCTTTCTACCCAGTCCCTGCCTTGCATGGCTCCCCAGATTGGGCATTCCCAGACAGTGCTGCATGGGTTTATCAGCAGCTCCAGAACAACCTGCCCTAGCCCAAGCAGCTACTGAGTCACCTTACAGTGAGTGCCAAATCTGGTCCCATGAGTGAATCCTCAAAGTGAGCAGCTACCTCTCCCAAGTCCAGGGAGGTAGTGTCTCTATCTTTCTGAAGGTAACAGTCCAAAACCACAGTGATTCAGGAGCCTTTGCTGAGTTGCAGTAGCCCTGGGTGGCTTTCTGTCTGTAGGAGTCCTGCAGCACCCCTGGGTGCTGGCCCCACTCAGTGGTATGACGTGGCTAGGCCCTGGCACCCCAGTAGTCCATTACCTTTCTTCATCCGAGGCCGCCTGTCAGACTCTGGCACAAGATTAATCTCCTGCGCTGAGGAGATTCTTCCAAGCCACAAACCTGGAGCTGGGTCTATCCAGCTTGGGGTCAGGGCAGTGGTCCTGATGGGAAACACACACAGGGTTAGTGCAATGCATGCCTCTGGAGAGCACAGCACCATTGGCTGCCTGCCTCTTGGCTCCCAGAGTACATGGACAGCGCCTTGCCATTCTGGCAGCTCCTGTCCCTTACACAGGCAGACCTGGGAAGACAAATTCCTGCACAGAGCCACAGGATGGGAGCATCGGTAATAGGTAGGAGCTGGCAGAAGCAGCAAGGGTCCTGCTGGGGAGGACGATCCTCCTGTGACTCTCCTTACTGTGCAGTGAAACTTTAACCAGCACCCATGCCCCACGGGGCCACCGCCCACCACCACAAGGCCTGTTGGGGGGGGGAGGGGAGGCAAAGAGGGGATTTACCTCCACTTGCCCCAGGGAAGAGGAAGAGCTGCTACTGTGTGTGGAATGTGCCCCCACATTCATTCCTGTGCCAAACTGGGGAAAGGTGGTCTGGAGCGCAGGCCCTGCTGGCTGTGACCTCTCTGCCCTCCCCCCCCCAGCCAGGTAGGTGAGCAGCAGACCCAGCCTGGGAGGGAGAGGAGACCAGGCAGAGAAGGGCTACCCCTGTCAGCCTCCCAGAGACCTTTTGAGACACAACCCTGCTCCGCTGGACGATAAAAAAGCAGGATGGAGCTGGCCAGCAAGTGGCATAACCACAACAAAGTGCCCCAGCTGGGCCTCCCTGCACAGCAGATGCTGAGCTGGCAGCTGGGCTGTTAATAGGGAACTCCATTAACAGAGGAGTTACCACAGGGGAAGTTGCTGATGGGAAGCTGCCTCACCTGTCCCTACAGCTGCAGGTGCTGCCAACCACGCAGCCCTTCCCCAGGACCTTTCACTGGGGCCCAGCAGCAGCAGGGCTAGGGTACAGAGGTCTGCCCAGCAACTCCAGGGCAGGTGAGCATTGGGGCTGCCACCTTGGTGCTGTTCAGGACCCTGCTCACACAGCCTGCTCCTTTCTGGGCAATGCCCTGACCTTGAAAGGTCTCAGGTGGTGGCAGGCTTAATCCAGACTTACCTCAGTTTACCTGGAGCTTTCATTCAACTTAGTGTAGCAACAGCTAAACTCTGCTTTTGTCCTGTTTCCTCCCCTTTTCCACCTTAAGCTTCTGATGTTGGCAACTCACACAATCCCTTGCCATTACACCACTGCTGTCACAGTTAGATACTGATGGATTTCCTCTGGCACTCATAGCAAAGGTACCCCACAAGGACTGTGCTCACTTGGCTAATGGAAAACCAATCACCCCTGGCAGCTTTCCATTAAGGAAACAACTTGGGAAAGAGGAGAAATATTAAACATGATGACAGTATTAACACAAGACAATGAAGATGTAGAAACTTTGTTTTCTGGGAGGTGGCAGTAGGTCTGTGAATCTGGACTACCTCCAGCCAGTATGTGCCTGATCCAAAATCTATCCCAGAGCAGCAGAGCACTCAGGCCCAACCAGTACGGAGATGGTGACCTGGAGACCAGTGTCCTGGTTTCAGCTAGGATAGAGTTCATTTTCTTCTTAGTAGCTGGTATAGCACTGTATTCTGGACTTAGAATGAGAATGTTGATAACACATCGATGTTTTAGCTGTTGCTGAGCAGTACTTACTCCAAGTCAAGGTTTTGCCTGCTTCTCATACTACCCTGCCAGCAAGGAGACAGGGTGCACAAGAAGCTGGGATAGGTCACAACCAGGACAGTCAAAAGGGTATTTCATAACTTATGGCATCATGCTGAACAATAAAGTTAGGGGACTGCTTGGGGAATGGCTGGGCATCAGCAGATGGCGAGCAATTGAATTGTGGATCATTTGGTGATTTTTTGTTGTTGATTACTGTTTATTGTTTTTTGTTTTGTTTTTTTTTGTTTGTTTTTTTTTTTCTCTCTATTAGACTGTCTTTATTTCAGCCCATAAGTTTTTGCTCTTTTCTTACACTGCCCAAGCCACTCACAGTTAGGTACATAGATTAGCTCAGCGTTGGCGTCTGGATGCTTCACCCTCCGATTTCAGACACAAGCATCAGGCATAGAGCAGGAGAGACAGATGGCTTATAGGAGTGCTTCTGTATCCCCAGCGTTAAGCAGGGAGCACACTAACTAGTCGCAGTTCCTCCTGTTCTGTGCAGCACCAACCCACTCCCTGCCTGCAAGTTAGTTCATGGCTGGATACAGGGCTTGAACAGCCCACAGCCCTGGGCCTCGGCACTATACACAGGAAGATCAATGTTGAAGACAAGTGTTTGGCAGGGCTGCCTTGAAAAACCTTACAACCCATACCAGGAACTAGAGATGTATTCCTGTACAATACCCACTGCTTTGCATAGCTGTTGCCAAGCTCTTCCAGCCTGCAAAAGACTATTACTCGCCAAACTCTGACTGGGAAACAGCCTCTGGTCTTTCAAGAAACTTGCCTTACAGCACAAAAATACATCAGCGACGGCACTAGCCAGAGCTCTAGAAGCTTTCAATTCATAACCAAATTTGAACACCAAGCTCCCTCTGCCCTTCACATGTTGATGTTTCAGGACTATTATCCCACAAAGAGGGGGTGGAACAACAACCAAAGAGGATCCTGGAAAGCCCTCTATGTGCTCCCAGGCTGCGTTTCTCCAAACACGCAGCACTTTTGAGCGCCTGCAGTTGGAATTAGTAAAATTATTTCCGGAAGAGGAAAACTCTCCTATAGCAGCATATACCCTGCACCAGTACACATTACACTCTGACATGCTACTGCATAAGGCTCAGTTCAGTATCATGGAACTTCAGAGCTGGAAAATGTTAGGTGTTTTCCTTTCACAAGTTTATATCAGAAGAAAACATAACCCGGGGTCACTGCAGTGAGAGGGGAGGGCTCAGCTTCTGCACAGAAGGCGTAGCCAAGCCCAGCAAATATAATGCAAAGCAATGCAGACAATACCTTTGGCATGCTAAGCATCGCAATACCATGTTATAGCAAGTTTCATTCTCTTCAAATAGTACAGGTGAAACTTTCATCAAAGGAAACACAGAAGCTCTTAGAGACAATATTTAGTTCCTAAAACACTCTGTACTTAAATAGGTAAATACTCTTATATGCAAATGATTCTTAGACACATGTAAAGCACAAATAACATCACTCAGTGCCCAGAAGCGTACCACTGCAGCCATAAAGGCCTGTACAAGATAGTCTTGTGCAAAGTTCCTAACAAGCCCTAGACAGGACAGGCTGTTCTGAATACCAAAGTATTTTGGGCATCCCCAGGTGATGTCATATGCTGACTAGGACATGGTTTCATTCTTGTAGGATGAGGTTTCATTCTTGTAAGGCTGCTGAAGCTGAAATTTCTGTACTTGCCACAGAGTGAGGCAAATCCTGAATGGAGACAAAGGCAACGATGAAGTCCGGAAACCAGTGCTCCCAAAATGCCCCAAATATATAGTAACAAGTGTGAAAGCATGGAGGTGGCTAGTTTCTGATTAACGGAAAACCACAGGGAGCCATTAGTCAGCATTGGCAAGAGCATCCCCTACGAACACACACAGCACACAAACACCATTGTCAATCATTTAATCTCCACTGAGGCTCAAGAGAAGACATGTGGTTCCCACCAGGGTCAAAGAGCAGCACTGATGGTGGGGACATGTCAGAGTCCACAAACCAAGGTCCACGAACCCGTCAGGCACAACATCTGCAGGTCATACTAGCAGAAGGGGCACACTGCAGCCTCTGGAAAAGGGCCCACACGTGGTTCCCAGTGGTCATATGGAGTCTGCAGGTCACACTTGCAGAGGTAACATATTACAGACACATATGGTGGCCATGCACTGTCTCTAAAGATCATGGCAGAAGGGACAGGTCGCAGTCTGAGAAGTTGCGCCCACATCAGTGCCTGCTGATCACACACTATCTCTGAAGACCACACTGGCAGAAAGGACATGTCACGGCCTGAGGAGCTGAGCCCAGGCATGAAGTGGGTGCAGGGGCCCTGCCCACCAGTGAGCTCTGTTGTCCTGTTGCAGTGGTGGAGCTGGGCTGGTGCCCACACGTTACTTGAGGCTGTAGAGCAGGACAACGCCCAAGAAAAAGAGGAGCCCAACCGAGAGGTCGGAAACGAGTTGGAAGCGGCCTTGGGCCGCTGCCTCCTCCCGGCGGAGGCGCAGCTGCTCCCGCCGCGCCCGCAGCATCCGCTCCCGCTCCAGCTGCTCCCCGTAGTGCGCGCGGTAGAAGGCGTCGAAGTCGAAGGGCGGCGGGACGGGCCCGCGGCGGGAGGAAGAGGCGGCGGCGGAGCGGGCGGGCGGCGGCGCCGGGGTGAGCGGGCGGCCCGAGGGCTTGGGGGCGCCGCGCACGTCCTCGCGGCTGAGGACGCCGCGGTCGTACTTGCGGCGCAGCGCGGCACTGCCCAGCACCAGGTAGGCCTCGCTGACGGCGGCGAACCGCTCGGCGGCGGCAGCGCTGCCCGCGTTGCGGTCGGGATGGTACCGGAACGACTGCTCGTAGTACGCCGTCTTGATCTGCGCCTGCGTCGCCGTGGGCGGGACGCCCAGCACCTCGTACAGGTCGCGGCGTGGCCCTAAGGCCTCGCCGCATCCCTGGTGCCCGGCGCGACCCGGCGCCAAGCCGAGGCCCGGCGCGGCGAGCAGCAGGCGCCGCAGGCGACCGAGCGCCGCCGGCTCCATCGGGCCGCGCCGCCTCAGCGTCCGCGCGCCGCCATCTTGGGTGCAGCGCGCTGTGCGCCGGCGCCTGGCGGTGACGTCGGGCAGTGCCGGCACGCGGCAGCATGGCGGGCAGCGGGCGCCGGCCCGAGCACCGCGGGCCGCCCGAGCTGGTGAGGCGGCGGGGCCGGGGCCGGGGCCGGGGCCGGGGCCGGGGCCGGGGCCGGGGCTCACGCCTTACCCCTCCATTCTCTCGTTGCAGTTCTACGATGAAGTGGAAGCGCGGAAGTACACGCAGAAGTACGGCGGGGCTGGCTGGGCTGGGCTGGGCTGGGCTGTGGGGCCCGGGACCGGCCCCGGCGTGCCCCTTCCTGAGCCCTCCCTTGCTCTGCATTGCAGCTCCCGGGTGATGGAGATCCAGGCGCAGATGTCGGAGCGGGCCGTGGAGCTGCTGGGGCTGCCCGAGGACCGGCCATGCCTCCTTCTGGATGTGGGGTGAGGGGGGCCCAGCGGCAGGGTGGGGATTCAGCCCGGAATGGCGCCGAGGGGGGCATTGGGGCCCCATAGCGCTGGTGTCTGCTGCGGACTAACAGAAGGGGATGTCACTGTTGTGCGATGGCTGTCCTAGAGCATTGTTTGGCAAGGCTTGTGATCTCTGTTACCACCCCTTCCTCCCTTCAGCTGTGGCTCTGGGCTGAGTGGGGATTTTATCTCTGAAGAGGGGCACTACTGGATTGGCATGGACATTAGCCCTGCAATGTTGGGTGAGAGGCCCCTCCTCCCCTTTAGCTCTCACTTCACCTCAGAGGTGATTGCCGAAGGCATGAGCTTGGTACCATGAGGTGTCTTCTGTGCAGATGTGGCTGTGGAGAGAGAGGTGGAAGGAGACCTTCTTCTTGCAGATGTGGGTCACGGCATTCCCTTCAGGCCTGGCATGTTTGATGGCTGTATCAGGTGAGTTTGTACACCTAACCAAGCTCTCCTGATACTCTACATAACTACATATTTTGTATTGTATACATGGTCTGCTTATGTTGCATAACAGACGACTGTCCTTACCTGTCACTCTGTTTGCTCCATGCCAACTTAACTCCAGCTCTTTAGGACAAGCTGCTGAGATTCTAGATTGTAGAAGCAGCAGTTTCCAAAGAGATGCTTGTATGTGTTTTGTGGTAGTGAGCTGGGAAGAGTATTGAAATAAATAAAGTTGGGGATAATGTCAGGATAGTTGAGACATGCACCTAGGATGAAAACCTAAAGTATTCCTGTGACATTGACCTAGGGACTGACCTCACAGCTGAGCTTGATGGTTGATTTTGAGGTGAAGGGGAAATAAATAGTTCTCTTAGAGAATACCTCATAATGGTACTGGACAGGAGTAGGGGCTGTCTGTTACTGATCTGAATCAGTTTGGGATTGCTCATTGTCAAAAACTTCATGGTTGCTTGTGGGCTATGCCAGGGTCCCAACCAGGCATTGAATTATTTGAGCACCTGGGCTGGGGGAGATGTCTGGTGTTTTTGTTGCGCTTGAATAAGCTTGAATAACTGCTGTACTATGTTGGGTTGTGGCATGGCTTAGGGAGTCTCAAGAGGGATTCCTGTAGTGTCTTGACTGCAGAGTGGAAGGCAAAGTTACATGGAGAAAATTAATTAGTTTCCCTGATGCCTAACACATGTTTAACACTGAAAGGAAGCTCAAAGAGAGGTTATGGGCTCTGCTAAAGAATTGATGGCTAGGTGTCTTGAGGGTCTTGCTCTCTTTCTCAGTATTTCCGCAGTGCAGTGGCTTTGTAATGCTGATAAGAAGTCGCACAGTCCTCCAAAACGCCTTTATCAATTCTTCTCAACTCTTTATACCGCCTTGGTAAGTGTCATGCTCTCTCAGTCAGGCCTCTGCCTATTTTTGTGTCGTCACTGGTGCCTTTTAGGAAGACTTTTTAAGTAAATGCTACTGAAATATAAGACTAGCAGGAGCACCTATTTCCTGTCTGCATTCCTTTTTGCATGGTGCCCTGTGTTTCTGTAATCCCTGCTGTTAGCTTTGTGCCCTGCTGTGCTGTGGAGAAGCTGACTCTGCAGTCTGAGCAGCTCTGCTGGGAGAGTTCTCTAGGAGGTTTTAGGAGTTGGGGGCTAGGGAGTGGGTGACCAGAGGGGAACCCTTAACAGGGTTGTGACTGACTTTATTTCCCATAGGCCCAAGGATCCCGAGCCGTCCTGCAGCTGTACCCTGAGAATTCAGAACAGGTACAAGATATCACTTGGTGGGGAAGAGGAACAGGCAGAGCAAGGCAGAAAACTTGTGTGCTGTTTGAGGCTTTGAATGCATGGTATTGGCCCACATCAGTTCTGTGTCTCTGTCCTTCCTGCCATCCATAAAGCTCTGCAAGAGCCAGGAAAAAAAAACAACAATAAGGAGAAAGCCCCACACAATTTCTGCCGCTTCACAGTTTGTTTTGGACTGAGCCTTAAAATCAAAGAAATTGACAGGACTTGATCTAAATGTGCTGTGCTAGATTTTTGCCTGTGTGACTGGGTTTGAAGACTGGGCTGTACTTGTCAGCACTGTACTATGATTCCCAAGGGCTGGAAAATCCAGCCTTGTATACCTCTCCTGGAGAGTCTGCTGCTCCACTGAATCCAGGCAAGGTGGAAGAGCAGGGAGAACAAAAAAATACTGCAGGCTGCTGCCTGGACAGAACTGCAGAGCTAGGGGCTTGGTGTAGGGTTTAATAAAAGCAGGGTTGACCTGTCTTGTGCATACACAGTTAGCTGTGACTGAGCCTAGAAGTCTCTTGGGCTTTGCTTGTGGGTGAATAACGTTTGCATGTTCTTCTTTTTCCAGCTGGAGCTCATCACGACCCAGGCCATGAGAGCTGGCTTTACTGGGGGAATGGTGGTAGATTACCCCAACAGCACCAAAGCCAAGAAGTGAGTCCTGTCTTTCTGTGAATGGGCAATGTGTGGGGTGAAGCATAGCCTCACCAGTGATTTTTACAAGCTGTTTTTCTCTTTCCCACAATTCAGTTCTGGGCAGAGGTGACAGTTCAGATCTGACTCAAAAATAGAAGATCTCAGTCTTGCTTGGGGACTGGGAATCACATGCTGAATGTCAGCTTCATGTTCCTCATATTTTTTTCCCTTCAGGTTCTTCCTCTGTCTCTTTGTTGGGGCTTCTGGCACTTTACCAAAGGTGAGGAACTTTGCCTAGCAGCAGAAATGCCTTCCTGACTGCTGGATAATGTGGAAGAGCTGTGAGTGAGCAGGAGTCACACCAGACAACTGCATATGCAGATGTGGCTTCACTCTTACGTTTCTTGTTCTCATCTGGTTTCTGTGCCACAGTTTCTGGGAGATCTGTTTACTCCTGTCCCAGTCCCTCCCCTTACAGAGCGCTGTGTTTCCCTTAATTTATTTAGATGGCAGTGAGCACTAGCTCTGTCTGCACCAGGTGAAAGTTCCTAATTTTGTTCTTCAGGGCCTTGGTACTGAGTGTGCTGATGGAGAAGAGCTACAACAGGCAAAGTTCACCAGTGAGAGGTATTGTATGTGGGGTGAAGTTTCAAGTCCTCCCCAATTTCAGGGGATGTAAGTGCTCAGTTTTGCGGACCACAGTGCTGCTATGTGTGAAGTGGTGGGAGGGAAGGGACGGAGTGTACTGGGAGGACTGTTGGCAGCCCGGATGGGCACTGCTTTATCTTACTGAAGGGCCCCAGATAAAAGGAATGTAACAGGTTGGATTGACTAGAGGGCTTTGCTATGGCATCAGGGGGCTGCTGTTGATGCTTACCCTGGAACTTCAGCTAAGCATTCAGATAGAGGTGCACTTCCTGTCCAGCACTCAGCTCTTCGTCTCAGCACTGTAGTATAGGTTGGTGGTGGTGTGGTGTTTTTTGTTGTTTGTTTGTTTGTTTTTGTTTGTTTGTTTTTTGTTTGGCGGGGAGGCAGGCTGCTGAAACCTGGTGTTCCCTTCTATCCTCTGTCAAGTTCTTTGCTGTCTGACTGCGCAGCTGTGTCCTGTGTGGTTTCTCCTGCTGGTGAGGTCTCCTCCTATAGTAGTGGTGCAGGGAAGAGCCCCCTCCTGCAGCCAGTGGGAGAGACAGAGAAAAAAAACAGAGGAAAATCGTCATGGCTGCTAGCAGCTGGTGGCTGCCATGTTTTCCTGCCTCTTACACTGCTGTGCTCTGCTTGCTTAGTCCAGGGGGTACTTCATCTTGGAAGGCAATAGCAGAACTGGCAACTTGTTGGGAAGCCAGAGGCTTTGTCTGCTTTGTTCAGAGTAGAGCAGACAAGGGGAAGGTGGCTGTGCTTAAGCACGCTGCTGGTATGTCACACGTGGCACAGAGGAGTGCTGGTCTGCTGCAGCCTGTGGAGAGTAGGTGTCCCTTGGCTCAAAGCTATGGTTGGTGGTAGCCTCCCTCCTTCTGTGTGTCTGGAGTTGGACCGTGTGGGCCTTGTCCACAGTGCTGCTGAGCCTCTTTTATCCCTGGGGAGTGGGAAAGCACCTGCTGTTTTTATGAGGCATACCCAGGTCTGGGTAGAAATCTTCCAGGGCATAGAGGTGTTCCTCCCCAGCTGCTGTCTCTGTAGGACACGGTTCAGAAACACCAAGGGGAAGTCTGTGAAGAAAAGCCGGGACTGGATTCTTGAGAAGAAAGAGCGCAGGCGACGACAGGGCAAGTAAGTTTATCTGGGTCCTGCCTCAGCTGAGGTTGACTGTGCTAGACTGGCTTGCTGTCTGTCACCCATTCAAACTCCTGCCATGAACTAGCTTCCTTTCCCCTCCCTGTGTATCGCACTGAGTTGTTCTCTGCTTTTCTTCACAGGGAGGTACGAGCAGACACCAAATACACAGGTCGAAAGCGCCGCCCTCACTTCTGAATTGCTGTGGACACTGATGATGTGGAAGACGGTGTGTTGGCCTCTCCAGTGAGCCTCCTGTGAATGGCACAGATGGGCACCCCAGGCCTGGGACTTGTTGGAACAGGTCACTGTGGCTCTTGCAGGTGTAGACTGGCTCAGGTGCAGCCAAACTGCCAACTGCAAAGCTGCCAGACCTGTTTTCTCTGAAGGCAGAGTGGCACAGAGTTCTGTCCAATTGGTGTCTGCCATGCCACTGCTTATCTTCCCAATGGGGCAGTGAGCCAGAACATTATATCTAGCTTCTTCACTAAACAGTCAACAAGTAAGAAGTGTTGCTGGTCTCCTGTGTTGTGTTCTTAGTGCAGGGGAGCTGAGGTAGAAAACAGCACCAGGTTTCCTATCAGCTTCCCCTCTGCCTGCAGGCAGGTAGCCAGGCAGCATAAAGGTGTGTGTCCCATGAGGGCTAATCTTCCTCTAGGCAGAGTGGCAGAAATGTTATCTGAACTGTGGTGATTCCTCCTGCATCCACTTCAAATGAGGTCCACCCTGTATGCATTAATGCTCTGAGGGTGTTGGAATCTAAACTGCAACCATTGCTGCCTGTCGCTCCCTCCCTTCCCTTTAAATAGAGGTGCCAGCCTAGAGCTTTACAGTTACAAATGTTTATTCTACATAAAAATTCCACAAAATGGGAAGCTGTTTTGCACCCAAAGCTTTGGGAGAAGGAAGGGAGGTTAGCAGGGAGGGAAAAAGGTGAAGGAAAAAAGAGGCAACAATACAGTGTCATCCAGCCCAGTGAGACAGAGCAAGCCAGGGTCAAGATCCACATAGAAAACAAGGACACTTAGCTCACAGTACAGCAACAGTACAACTCCACAGAGGGTTTAGAAAGCCTTCAAGTACATTACTAAAAAACAAACAAACAAAAAAAAACAACTAATAAAAATAAATCCCCAATCCCCAATTCAAGTGCTAGCTGTGTGTGCCCCACACTGCTTATAGAATACTGCATCAACATGCTCATGGTGCTAGGAGGGCAGGTGGCGCTTGGAACAGAGGTGTCATAACCCAAAGGATAAGTGGTCCGAGGTTGGGGGCTAGAAAGAAAAAGTGAAATGTTTCCTCAAAGCACAACCACGCTATTGGTGATTCAGTCTGTACATGCAATGACAGGCAGGTAAAAAGGAACTGAATGGGGCTTCCCATAGTGCAGGGGTAATTATTGCACCAAAACACCCTCCCCTCACAGCGAGGACAGTGAGAGACAGCGTGCAGGGCAGTGAAGGCAGCATGCTCCTCTGCCTCTATCATGTCAGAGCATGCAGCCATCACTGCCTGCATGAGCCCAGCGAAGTGCCAGTGGCAAAATCAGTGCCATCTGGCTCCTGCTGCTGGCAGTGGTGGTATCAACAAGGAGCAAGGGTCAGTAACCACACCAGTGCTGTTCTTGGCTTTGTGCCTTGACGGGTGTGGGTACTGACATCATCTGAGCTTGTATCACAGAAACCATTTCTTGGAAGAAAAAAGAAAAAGTCCCCTTGAGCTAGCAGTGGACATTGCTGTGGGGTCAGAGCCTGAGATGAACTTTCTTGCCTGCCTGCCTAGGAGCAGCCTTACCAGTAGTGTTATTGCTTCCCAGAGGAGGGGGCCTAGTGCTCTCACTGGCTTACCACAGCAGTGTTCAGATTGCAGTGGCAGGCACCAGCACTGGGGCAGAAGCAGCAGGCATTGTACATAACCTCCACCTCTCTCTCCTGTAGCCAGATGTGCCCACAAAGATGTGCCACTGGCTATGCCAGTGCTTGCTTCCTACTCTGGAGGGGTCTACAGAGCCTGCCTTCCCCTGCTTGCAGGGGTCCCAGTGCCCCAAGCTACTGTGCTGAACACAGGCTGCAGTGATGCAGCTAATATTAGATGTCACAGGACTGTGAAAGAAGGGGACTGTGGTCTTGGATGTTCTCATGGCCACAGGTGCTGGGGGCTTGGGCTGGGCAGGATGGGGGACTGGGCTGGACGCGCTCCCCAATGGTGACCGAATGCAAGTAGGGTTGTGTTGTGGGACCTTTGGTAATATTGACGGGGAGGGCTGTGCTCAGGGAAAGCAGGACTGTGTCCTGGCTACAGCCTGCTGTCCTGCACCCTACACCTGTGGGCACACTGCACAAGGCAAGTGCCAGTGCTATACTAGCCAGGCAGGATGGCGGAGTGCTGGGTGGGAGCAGGGCTCAGCTCCAACCAGGCCTGCCCTCGCCCTTCCACTCCAGCTTGCACGCCTTAGCCCTCAGGGAACATGGAGGTGGGGTGCACTCAGCTGCCCCTGATTGGAACAGTGAGGCAGCATGCTGCCTGCAGCTGCAGTAGTCACTGCCATCAAGTGCCCCTTTTCTGCTACCAGCATCTGGGCTCACGTCCAGCCTCCACCCCGGTGCATGTCTGCAAGCTTGGCACCAGCACCTACACTGCTCGGGCTCCTCCACAGTGCTTTGGGATTTCATGAGCCAGCCAGAGCACCAGACTCTCCTGAGGAATATACGGGCTGACACCTGCTGTTGGACTGAGGCAGCAGCATGGAAGTAACAGGATGGTGGCAACAGGGCCCCTCTGAGCTGCCAGCAGGCAGTATGGGGCTGACAGCTGACAGCATGGGGCACCTAGGTGCAGGCACAGCAGCCCACAGTGTACAGGTGTCTCCCAGATGGTCCCGGGGAAGAGCAGGCAGCAGGACACTGTGCCAGAAGGAGGTGGCAGGCAGATGCTCAGATGTGGCAGAGGTGGAAAGAGAGGTCGGGCCCTGCCCTGCTCAGGAACTGGTGACGGAAAGGAGGAGAAAGAAGGCTGCTACTCTTAGCTTGCAAGGTGTGGATGCAAGCCTTTGCTGCTTCCTGGGACTGTGATAGGAGAAAGCCCCCCTGCCTCCAGCCCCCAGCCCAAGGGTGCATATGTGGAGGAGTCAGGCTGGGTAAAGCCTTGCTCCCAGGTAAACACCACCTGGGGCTGTGGGTGTCAGAGCTGTCCTCAAACTCTGACAGCTTAAGCCCAGGCCTGGGGACAGCAAGAGCCAGGGCCACTGTGTGCCACAGCTGATAACAGAACAAGGAGGATTTGGAGCAGGGCAAGCAGCCAGTGGAACTTGGTGGCCTCAAACCACCTGTGGCCTCTTGCCCTGCCTGAGGTGCAGCACTGAGCCCCATGTGACTGTCCCCATCCCTAAGCATCAGAGATGGCCCCAAGCAGCACCACTGGCCAGCAGCAGCAAATCCAGCCCGAGGCACCTCCTGCACTGGGGCAAGGGCTTGCACAGGGCAGAAGGCAGCTCCACCACTAGCAAAGCAGCAGGAATGGAGCACTGCAGCTAGGCATGGGCATGGGGGGAGGGGACGGGGGGGCGGGCAGAGCCTGGCAGAGTGTACCCCTGGGGAAGTGCCCCATGAGTGAAGCAGCCTGAGGAAAAGTGTTTTGCAAACACTGATGTGGCTGACAGACACAAGAGCTCTGGCTGAAAGTGATGGGAAAAGCTGGGGAAAGTTGACTGGGCTCTGTGCTCCTGAGGACTCTACCCATCATCGGTCTCATCTTCAGGTGTGACTAACACAAACTGTCTAGCACAGGAAGAGCAGCAGTGCCCAATGGTACCTCTGTCCCCACCTGGTCCCAGCCAGCCTCTCAGGCTGGTGCAGTGATGAGAGCTCAGGTTTTCCCCATAGGTCCCCCTCACGCCCATCACTGTCCCCTGCACCCCGCCTGCACCTCAAGGCTGGTGCTCCCTCCACACAGACGTACCGCACACACAGCATCACAAACAACCATGCATTAGAAACTGAAATGCTGCTGGGAGGCTCCGGGGGCTGTGTGGTTCACTCCGGTGTGGCTGCAGCCCCATGGCACGCGTGGCTCCATCCATCACAAACAGTCCCGTGGGGTGAGTCTATCCAAAAATACCGCCAAAGGTGGAGGCAATGACAATACCCAGGATCACACAGCAGATAATGATCATGATCTTCTTCTGCTCAGGTGTTGCAGCACCGGCAGGGAGAAAAGGGAGAGGGGACCATGAGTGCCAGGGGTAAGCTGGACCCAAGAGCTGGGGCCTGCGATGTGCCCCATCCCTGTGTGTCTGTGGTGGGCTCTGATCAGCACCAGGCGAGCCAGACAGGCTCTGGCCATCGCTGGGACATGGCTGGGTACCCAGGCTCCCTCTTCAGCACTGGACTGGCAAACCTGGTGGCCCACTGTATCCCCTGAGCTGCTAAACTGCTGCAGAGACATAGGAGCATGCTGGTAGGGCCAGGCTTGGGGAATGGGACAGGCAGCTGACACTGCGCTTGGGGTCAGAGCTGTAACATGCCTTTTTCTACCACCTTCACCTTGTTTTGGCAAGGGACATGGATCCCACATCTAGCCTGGCCCATGGAATCCACCCTGTCCCTTCTCCTCCCACCAATGAGCACTCTTGCCCCATGACTCATTGACAGTGCTCAAGGAGCCCCCTTACAGAGCTCTGCCTCAGTCCATGTCACCAGCAGGACCCATGCTGCACCCAGTGGTGTGGAATATAGTGCCTGAGTACCCACAAGGCTGCACTTTGCTGCCTGCTCCTTTGTGTAAGCAGCAAGGCAGGCAGGGATGCCAGGCTGGGACCTGGTCCATGGACAGTGTCAGAAGTGCATGCAGGGGAAGATATGACCCAGCCAGTGCCATGACTCACCCGTCTGGCTTTGCTCTGGTACTTCACTGCTTTTTTGGTGTCAGACACAGCCCGCTCCACGTAGTCCACAGAGTGTTCCACGTTGTACTCAATGCGGTCAATCATCTCACCCTGCAGAGTAGGGACAGAGCCCACACGCCCATGTGCACATACGTGAGCTCCTTCCTTCCCTGCTGCTCCTCGGCACTGTGCAGACGTCACCCTGCCCAGTGGCCCTGCATGGGAGATAAAGGGATAATCACCTGCCTGTAGCAGGCACACAGGCTGTGGACACCCTGGGGTGTGGGTCCAGACCATAGGCTTTGTCCAAGAGGGCTGGGACCTCTGTACACATGCCAGCAGAGAGGCAAGTAAGAGTCAAGTGGGTTCCCCATCCCAGTCCTGGCCTGGTGGCCACATGTCTTATGTCCCAGGTGAGCATCACAGCCACAACAGGATTTGCATCATCACGGTGCTACACACTGGAGAAGCAGGAGGAGTGGCAGGGGAGGGCAAAGACCATACCAGCAGCACCATGTGGGGTGCTCAGAAAGCCACAAACATGCACAGGTGACTACTTAGATCTGCACAAGCACCCTGCCAAGAGCAGAGATCCCTGAAGCAAGGCTGGTCAGTCTGGACCACTGGGT